TTTCGGTAAATTGTCACATCTGGATTGCAATCCAAGCCTCTTTTTCATATAAAAATGGAGAGCAATCGACAATCGCATAAAATAGCCACATAAAAACAGAAAACAATGTCCACTAATAGAATCTGCCCAGTTAGAATGGAGTTATGAATAAAGTTGAGAGGTCCCCAGGCAGCATGCACTGATGGGCACTGATAGGCTGCACTGATGGGCACTGATAGACTGCATTGATGGGCACTAATGAGCCTGCACTGATGGGCAATGATGAGGCTGCCCTAATGGGCACTGATGAGATTGGACTGATGGGCACTGATGAAGAGGCACTGGTGAGACTTCACTGATAGGGCAGCACTGATGGGCACTGATATGCTGCACTGATGGCTACTGATATGCTGCACTGATGGACATGGATTGGCAGTGATGGGGCTGTACTGATATTCTGCACAAATGGACACTGATATGCTGCACTGATGGGGATGCACTAATAATCAGGACATGGATTATCAGTGCCCTGATTATTAAACGCCCCCATCACAGGAAACCTAGTTATCTGCTTTACTTTCCTTATGCTGTGACAGCGCTGAGCAAAATGCCGATAACCAGCATTTTTTTACATGTGAACAGCTGTGATTGCACACAGCTGATCACATGGTTAGGAGCCAACGTCATTGGCTCCTAACCTTGAATGGTGATGCACTGTGTCTGAGGGACATAGCTCACCACTGATCGCTGCACCACTGATCAGTCTGCTATTGATCAGGGTTGGAACCAGTTAAAATATTGCAAGTACAGAAAATAACTAATCAAGCGAGCTGCTAGCATCCTAACAGCTGACAACACTTCCTTCCCTGCATTGAATTCCACCACAGTGTTGTCTTTACTGGCTGAGTTTTCCATTTAGGATAGCATAGGGGAAGGGGGGTTTCCTGGGTTCCAACAAGAGATCTCAGGCAGAGCTTATGGCACTAACAGAGGTAGTATTGAGCCTGAGCATGGTGCTGTCAGGGAGCTCGATGTGAGCGTTCCCTGACAACAAGCATTCCCTGCGACCCACCATATAGTGATGCCCAGGAGGCTTTGATTCACCTGGGCTTTGGTGTCGTTCCTTTGGGGGATCTATTTGGAGAGCACTGTTTCCCATGCTGCTGAGTGGAGGGGTGAGCTGCTGAGCAGAAAGAGATGAAGAATGGGGTGCTGGCTGCTTGGAGAGGACATGCACTCCGGTGGACACCGGGCGGTCACATGGCCACTGCAGAGGAGCACTGGGAGGTAGGGTAACCAGCTGGCTCATCACGAAGGATAAAGCGATCCATACATCACAGGACTGCCCAGGACCCGTGGAACTTTGCATAGGGTGACTCCCCCCAATAGCCAACAGTTATTAATATATATTCACAGCTATTTATGGTCACTAATAAGCACCACCTTAGATGGGGGTTTTTGACTGCTTGGACGCGCTAGAAACCCCCACGGGAGGAGGTCATCAGCAGCTGCTCCAGCTAAAGTGGAAGAAAGTGGCAGTGAGGAGGTGAACGAGGGGCTACAGAGGACGGTGAGTCAAAATTTAAAACAGACTTGCACTGTTTAAAGACCATAAGTGGGGGATCACCCAGGGGGTCCAGGAGGAGTAGAAACAGAGATACAAATAAGAAAAAGAATCCAGAGACCCCTAGGAAGAAAATTGGTGTAGGGTGGAAGGAAAGAAAAGGAAAGACTTAAGAGAGGGATTTAACTTTAGTCTTGCCCAGTAGAAGAAACCCTCTGGCTGAGGAAAAATAGAATTATATCTTAACATCATGAAAATGAAAGCGTCAAAAAGGAGAGGGTTCAAACCACCCCAAACAAGCTCAATTACAAAATGTATACCTACACATGAAAAAAATTTGGAGGGACAAACCCCAGAGAGATAACAAGGAGTTAGTGGAAGAGATGGAAAACATCAATGGCGAGCGCTCCAGATTGTCTCTAGGAGTAAATAATATCAGTCAAAGAGTAGAAGCTGAAGACATAGAAAATGAGTCGGTTATCAAGAACTCTGAAGAGCAAGAGAGGACCTCACAGGAGATGGCGATAATACATAAAAATCTGGGGCAAGTTTTATCACGAGTAGAGGAGACTGAAGGGAAACAGGGTAAACATATCTAGATGGAAGAAATGAGAAAAGAGCAAAGGAATCTGCTATATAAATTGGAAGATCAGCAGAATAGAGACAGAAGATGTAATCTGAGGATACGGGGATTACCAGAGAACTGGCAAGGAGAAGACTTGATGGAGACTTGATGGAGACTGTGGAGAAATTGTTTAACACAATAATGGACAGATTAGCAACAGATCACCTGAAGATGGATAGAGTGCACAGAATAGGAAGACTCCAAGTAAGCGGAAATGGAAGAGACAACCCTAGAGATGTGATCATATGTTTCCATTACTATAGAGACAAAATGGAACTATGGAAGAAGACAAAGAGAAGATCAGTAATAAAATATAGAGAAGCTAATTTACAGATTTTTGCTGATATATTATCGGAAACATTGGCTAGAAGGAGAACGTTGAAAACATTACTGGAACAGATGAAGAAACAGAACGTACGATATAGCTGGGGATTCCCAGCATGTTTAATAGGATGGAAAGAAAGTCGCTCTGCAAGACTGAGATTCCCAAAAGATTTGAGAGACTTTCGTGAGAGGCTTGAACTACAGAAAATAGACATTCCAAGCTGGGGAGGTGGTAAAAGAGAATAGGGAAATGGAAAATGAGAATTGGCAGTTAGCTCCTGGGGAGAAAAGGCACCAAAGATAAAATAGGAGAAGGGGAGGAGGAAGTCTGTAGAGGACTTTCTTCCTTTTTTTTTTTGCTTTTCTCTCTCTCTGCTCCTTCCCCTTCTCCAAGGTAAAGTTAAAACTTCAGTAGAAAGGCAGGGAAATAGGAAGCTGCATATACAGTACATTCAGACATGGGGTCTAGGGAAGAGGAACACGGTCTGTATGGGCATATGCGGTCAGAGCTTCACCCTAGTTCAGAATCAAAGGTGGGACTAGGACCACAAATGATTCAAAGGTAAGTTAAGGGCCTAGGGGAGGGGGTGTGGGTTGTGGGGAAGGGGAATTGTGTTGGAGCCAGCTGTGTGTTCCTTTGGAGGGATGATGGTACTTTTGTTGGGAAGAAACTAGATGGAAGGAAAAAAAAAATTATGTATGGGAAATGGAGGAGGTTAATTTTATGGCCTATAATGTTAAAGGGCTAAATAGCCTGGGGAAAAGGCATATGATCTATAGAGAATTACAACAACGATCTATCACAATAGTGTTTTTACAGGAAACCCATCTATTACAGGGAACAAATGTAAAGATTTACTCTAGATATCATCCAACCTGGTATTTTACAAATTCTCCAATTAAGCATGCTAAAGGTGTAGCAATTGGTATAGCAAAAAATCTAAGATTCAAAACTGGAAGATATGGTGGAGGATCCTGAGCGGCGATTCTTGTTTTTGAGGGGGAGATTGCAGCAAATAGAGTGTACATTGGCAAATATTTATTGCCCTAATAGAAACCCAGTGACCAATCTGAAAAGTATACTGAGAAGGCTGCTGGATTTATAAAATGGACAAATTAATTGTGGCAGGAGATTTAAATTTTTGCACAGACCCCTAGACTGATACGACATTGCATGTGCAGAGAGAGGAAGGTAGATGCTTGAAATCCATGCAAAGAAAGTTATATCAATGTCAACTCTTGGATGTTTAGAGAGTGAAACATCCCAGAAACAGAGATTACAAGTTCTACTTTCCAGCACATGTGATTTACCCTAGCTTAGACTATATATTGATGGAACATAGACTCTTGGAGGCTTGGTAAAAACAAATATAGAAGTCACAACAATATTGGACCATGCATCTGTTACAATGAAGTTATTATGGGGAAAAGAGCAGAATAAAAGAAACTTGTGGAAATTAAATGAGACACTCCTTCAGGATCATGACATGGAATTGAGAATAAAGAAAGAGGGCCGAACAATATATTGAAAGAAATGAGACTGAAGGAATTTCGATGGCCACGGTGTGGGAAGCACATAAGATATATATCAGGTGAATTTTGATATCGATTGGGGTAAAAAAAAAAAGGAACGGCAAAAGAAAATGAATATGCTCTTAAGAGGTCTATACAAACTAGAACAGTTACATAAAAAGAGAATAACAAAAGAGATACAGCAGAATATAATAAATAAGAGAGAGGGATTATGTAATCTAATGGAGGAAGAAATGAGGAGGACATTTAACATGATGGCAAGAGAGAGATATCAGTGAGGGAATAGACCTGGTAAATATTTAATGAGAGCATTGAGAACTAAGACATCAAGGAATTATATAGAGAAGATTAACCACTTGCCTACCAGGCACTTATACCCCCTTCCTTACCAGGCCAATTTTCAGCTTTCAGCGCTGCCGCACATTGATTAACAATTGCGCAGTCATGCAACATTGTACCCATATGAAATTTTGATCATTTTTTTCTCACAAATAGAGCTTTCTTTTGGTGGTATTTAATCGCCACTGGGCACTTTACTTTTTGCGCTATAAATTAAAAAATGCAAAAAATTTGAAAAAAAAAAAAAAAGTTTCTTTGTTTCTATTATAAAATTTTTCAAACAGGTATTTTTTCTCCTTCACTGATGTGCGTTGATGAGGCAGCACTGATGGGCACTGATAGGCGGCACTGATGGGCACTGATAGGCAGCACTAAAGGGCACTGATAGGCAGTACTAATGAGGTGGCACGGATAGGTGGCACTGATAGGCAGCACTAATGAGGTGTCACGGATAGGCGGCACTAATATGCAGCACTGATAGGCGGCACTGATAGGTGACACTGATGATGGGTACTGATAGATGGCACTGACTGGCATGACTGCTGGGCACTGACTGGCGGCACTGACTGGCACAACCGCTGGGCACTGACTGGTGGCACTGACTTACAGCACTGCTGGGCTGCACTGGTGGGTGGCACTGGTGGGCAGCACTGGTGGGTGGGCACAGGTGGGTGGCACTGGTGGGCACAGGTGGGTGGCACTGGTGGGCACAGGTGGGTGGGCACAGGTGGGTGGCACTGCTGGGCACAGGTAGGTGGCACTTCTGGGCACAGGTGTGTGACACTGCAGAGTGGCACAGGTGGGTGCACTGCTGGGCACAGGTGGGTGCACTGCTGGGCACAGGTGGGCGGAGCTAGTGGGCGCACTGCTGGGCACAGGTGGGCGGAACTTGTGGGTGGCACTGCTGGGCACCGATCTTCAGGGCACTGATCATCAGTGGCCCTGATGATCGGTGCCGATCCTCGCTCTAACAACTGCCAGTTCTCGGCAGTACTTTCCTCACGATCTGACAGCGTGAGGAAAGTGCAGCCGAGAACCGGCACTTGCATTTCCCTGTGATCAGCGTGTCATTGGACACCGCTGATCACGTGGTAAAAGGCCGGTATGATCAGCCTTTTACCACATCTCGTGATCAGCTGTGTCCGTAGGACACAGCGATCACAGAGATCGCCGGGTGCGCGCCCCCTAGGGCGCGCAGGAGAGCGCGTTCTGGGGGGACATCATATCCACCAAGAACTGGCCGGCCGCAGTGAAGCCGTCATTCGGCTATCTGCGGTCGGCAACTAGTTAAAGATGATAATGGAGAATTGGTCTACTCAACCATTGATATCGCTAACGTATTTAAAAAATATTACAGTAAATTATATGATGTTAACCTGAAGCAGTTAAAAGGGGGGGAAGAAGTAAGAACTAGTAAGGGACAGATGTTTTTGAAAGTGGTGGGATTACTGAGAGTGGGAGAGGAACGATTTATATGTCTGGAAAAACTGTTAACGCAGAAGGAAATTCAGGTGGCCCTGAAGAGCACAATTACGGGGAAAAGCCCAGGGTCAGATGGGTATACTGTGAGATATTACAAAAAATTTAAAGAACAATTAGTCCCTAAGCTGAGTTTATATATGAATGCATTAGGAGAGGGATGGAAATGAGGGAGGAGTCATTGCAAGCATATATTACAATCATTCAGAAAGAGAGAAAAGATGGAACCCAATGTGCTAGCTATAGACCCATTTCACTGTTAAATGTGGATACCAAATTGAACGCAAAGGTCCTGGCAAATAAGTTGAAAGACGGATTGGATTCACCTAGATCAAGTAGGATTTGTCCCTGGGAGGGAAGAGATAATGGGCTGACATATTATTCCTCATACAAAAAAGTAAGAAGGAAAAATCCCCTGTTCTGATATTATCAGTAGACGCAGAGAAAGCTTTTGATAGGGTGGACTAGGACTTTATGTTAGAAGCATTGGAAGTTCTGGGAATTGATCCCAAAATGAGAGAGTGGATAGCAAAGCTATATAGTTAAACCTCGGCAGCCTTAAAAGTCAATGGTTCATTATCAGAGTTTTTTAGGATGTATAATAGGACAAGAAAAGGGTGCCCGCTTTCAACTTTGTTGTTTGTTTTGTCCTTGGAACCTCTTCTGGCAACAGTAAGGAATAATACAGTCATGGCCGAAATTGTTGGCACCCTTGATATTTTTCCTGAAAATCAAGTATTTCACACAAAAAAGGTATTGCATTAACACATGTTTTGCTATACACATGTTTATTCCCTTTGTATGTATTGGAACAAATATAAAACAGAGGCAGAAAAGCAAATATGACATAATGTCACACAAAACCCCAAAAATGGGCTGGACAAAAGTATTGGCACCCTTAACTTAATATTTGGTTGCACACCCTTTGGAAAACATAACTGAAATCAGTCGCTTCCTATAACCATCAATAAGCTTCTGACACCTCTCACCCGGAATTTTGGACCACTCTTCCTTTGCAAACAGCTCCAGGTCTCTCTTATTGGAAGGACACCTTTTCCCAACAGCAATTTTAAGATCTCTCCACAGGTGTTCAATGGTATTTAGATCTGGGCTCATTGCTGGCCACTTCAGAACTCTCCAGCGCTTCTTTGCCATCCATTTCTGAGTGCTTTTTGACGTATGTTTGGGGTCATTGTCCTGCTGGAAGACCCAGGATCTTGGACGCAAACCCAGCTTTCTGACACTGGGCCCTACAGTGCGACCCAAAATCCTTTGGTAATCCTCAGATTTCATGATGCCTTGCACACAGTCAAGGCACCCAGTGCCAGAGGCAGCAAAACAACCCCAAAACATCATTGAACCTCCACCATATTTTACCGTAGGTACTGTGTTTTGTTCTTTGTAGGCCTCATTCCGTTTTCGGTAAACAGTAGAATGATGTGCTTTACCGAAAAGCTCTATCTTGGTCTCATCTGTCCACAAGACGTTTTCCCAGAAGGCTTTTGGCTTACTCAAGTACATTTTGGCAAACTGTAGTCTTGCTTTTTTATGTCTCTGTGTCAGCAGTGGGGTCCTCCTGGGTCTCCTGCCATAGCGTTTCATTTCATTTAAATGTCGACGGATAGTTCGCGCTGACACTGATGCTCCCTGAGCCTGCAGGACAGCTTGAATGTCTTTGGAACATGTTTGGGGCTGCTTATCCACCATCCGGACTATTCTGCGTTGCAATCTTTCATCAATTTTCCTCATCCGTCCACGACCAGGGAGATTAGCTACAGTGCCATGGGTTGCAAACTTCTTGATAATGTTGCGCACTGTGGACAAAGGCAAATCTAGTTCTCTGGAGATGGACTTGTAACCTTGAGATTGTTGATATTTTGCCACAATTTTGGTTCTCAGGTCCTCAGACAGTTCTCGTCTCCTCTTTCTGTTGTCCATGCTTAGTGTGGCACAGACAGACACACAATGCAAAGGTTAAGTGAACGTCTCTCCTTTTTATCTGCTTTCAGGTGTGATTTCTATATTGCCCACACCTGTTACTTGCCCCAGGTGAGTTTACAGGAGCATCACATGCTTGTAACATTCTTATTTATCCGCAGTTGTGAAAGGGTGCCAATACTTTTGTCCAGCCCATTTTTGGAGGTTTGTGTGACATTATGTCGAATTTGCTTTCTTTCCTCCCTTTTTTTGTTTTGTCCCAATACACACAAAGGGAATAAACATGTGTATAGCAAAACATGTGTTAATGCAATACGTTTCGTGAGAAATACATGATTTCCTGGAGAAATATCAAGGGTGCCAACAATTTCGGCCATGACTGTATAGATGTGAGGGGGATACAAATGGGAGAGATGGAACATAAAGTGGCAGTATATGCTGATGACGTGCTATTTCATGTGGTTAACCCTAGGTTGACATTACCTAATTCGATGAAAATAATGAAATACTATGGAGAGTTATCAAATCTAAAAATGAATCCAGTAAAATCAGAGATTCTAAATGTTAATGTCCCGATTATTGAAAAGAAAGCCCTGCAAAGAGAATTTCCCTTTTTAATGGAGGAAAAGAAAGCTAAAATATTTAGGAATAAAATTGACCTCGTCCTTAAAGAACTTAAATGAGGTTAAGGATGAATTGAGGAGATTATCGGTAAGACCCCAGTCTTGGATAGGACGAATACATTTGGTAAAAATCATAATCGTCCCGAAAATACTATATAAATTTCATATGCTACCTATACAGCTTCTGGGAACATATTTTAATGTAATTAAGAAAATGATATTGAGGTATATTTGGAGGAATACAAAAACGAGAATAAGTAATGAAGTATTGTGTAGAGATAAACGTTAAACGTGCCTGATTTTAGGAGCTATTATTACTCAGTAATATTATCGCGTATTTTTGATTGGACACACAATGCACTAGAGAAAAGTTGGGTGAATATAGAAATCACATTAAGTGGGACACAGTTAAGTAAGATGGTGTGGTTGTCTTATCAACACCATAAGTGGGCAGAGAGCATGAGCACTTATACACGAAACCTAACTAGAGTTTAGGATGTAATTCATAAACAAATGGGGTGGGAATTTAATTCTATGTTGATGCCGTTGGTGGCTTCAGATTTTTTCCTGCCAGGAAAAGAAAATATATTGGGTAAATGGATAAGAAAAGGGGATGCACAGTTAAAAGATATCATGAATGGAGAAGAAATATGCTCCTTTCAGGAGCTAAAAAATAAGGAGTTGTTTTTTATGTTAGATGAGTGGCAATATTTCCAATTAACCTTCATCTTGTGTTAGTTTCCTGTTACCATCTCTTATGTTAACGGGTCGGTTTTGACCCGTGTCTTAAATCAGCTATAAAATACACAAAAAACAGTTATCTATCATCCAATTTGTTTCTCATATCTTGGTTACCTTGTTAGGCTTCCTTATCCATGAAAATATTGTTTTTAATAATTTTGGTGTGGGCCCCTGGGCCTTTTTTTTGTCAGTATACCCCTCGATTTCAATTAAAAAACAATGTAAAATGAACCTCAAGAGAATCATATAAATAAATAAAAGGTTGTTATGTCACCTGACTATTACTGAGGGGATTTAGAACACATCTCTGAAATAAATTTGTTTTCTTTATTTTTTTATTTTAATATTATTATCTATAGTAACATCTATGGTGTTACGGGTCAGTTTCGACCCATATATATTATTACTTCAAAAAGGCAAAAAGTCTCTTTTTTTCAGCAATAGAACTTTAGTACAACCACAAAATGAAAAACAGAACAAATTATAAATATATATATATATATATATCATAAATATAACCAAATATAGATTTGCAAGGTCAAACAAACAACAACCAATCAAGCAAATCAAACCAATAGAAATCAATTACTTGTTCCAACACTAATAAAAAACAAAATCAGAGTAAAAGTCTGTGTGCAAGAACATGTATGTGTGTGCGTGTGTGTTTAGATGCATGTGTGGCAAAAAGTGACACTTTTAGTGTGTTCTTTGCAGAGATATTTGTTGCAGTTGAAGCACAGTACATTTGTCTTTCTGTCCTTACTGCTTGGGCAGACCTCACACCTCTTTCTTTTAGAATCAGGTGGCCTGAGTGGGGTTGTGGTTGTGGCTGTGGTGGATGATGTTGAAGCAGGGCTGGCTGAGGAGGATGCTGGCGTGAACAAAGTGCTAGGTGACCTCTGCAGCTGTCTGACCAAGACTGCAGCATCTGGGTCTCGGGCACCCGTTCCGTTCGCTCAATGTGTGGCTGGACAAGGGAATTTCCCAGCTCCTCAAGAAACATTCTCCGCTTGTTATTTTTGGTTGAGTTCCATCCTTGGTGGATGTGGGTCCACAATACAAATGCATTATATGCAGACACATCAAGGATGTTGTAAAACACAACCATTGGCCATCTCCTGGTCATTCGCTGGCAAGTGTAGGTGGCAGTCAGCTTGTCCAGGTTGTCCACTCCTCCTTCGTTTTTGTTATACTCGAGGATAATAGTG